CTGTTCTACTGCTATAAGAATAAGCCTGTCCTTTTCTTGTTTATGGATTGACGGGATTGACGGGATTACAACGGCGATGTATCCACAATGGAAGAAACGTCCCTTGTTCCTCTTTATATACAATCTGGGATTGAAGCACTCGGGTGCACCGTTTGAAAGATCTTATCCAGAACTGATAATCACATATCAAAGTTGATCTGCGTGTCGCATCGATAAAGCAGACCAATGAAAGCAGGAACTTCTGCACAGATGGCCGCCACCGACCAAGTAGCTACGAAAATAGGTTGCTGGCTAACTACCATGTGCTGTGATGTGCTGTGTGAACAAGTGCTTCTATTATGCGGGATCGTGCTAATACAGTACACAGGCGTTGGAAAAACCGCCGAAGAGGTGACCCAGTATCTAACTTTTGCTTTTAAATACGGTGATGCTTCAGCTGTGCCAGTTGATGATCTGCATCCTTATCTGCCATTCCCATTGTGGAAGGTTATAACTGGTAAGCCAGGAAGAGAGCTTTGCTTTTACGTTTTCTTTCTTTTTTGGAAGACCAGGAGTGGGTGGCCCGATGGCTTTCTACATCGATTATCATGTGAAGTTGATTTCCATTAAGGTGGAGGGCTCGACTGACTACGAGTAGCTGGGAATAGGGTGCATGATCCTATCGTAATCGGTGAGAAACTTTTGTAGTCTCTTTAAACTTTATCAAGCTGCTCGCCGGATAAGGTTTTCGCTGTGTTGGCCCTCTTCTGACTACCAAGGGAACCGGGAATTATTTTATAGCTGCCTGGTGGTCACCGGTAATACTTCGTTAGTGATCAGTGATCACCATTTTAGACTAGGGTTTAAGTACAGATCGACGCTCTATGTGTACAGATCGACGCTCTTTGTGTGGTACTCGCCCTTCGGATTTAACACCAAATTATGTGGATTATAATTATTAAGAGTCGCATGTTATTAACGTTGTTCAAAAAGGGAGCTCGTCAGTAACCTTATTCTCTTTACCCTTTTAGTTTAGATAACAGCTAACCTTATTATCTTGTCCTTTTCATAAGATAATGTCTAAGAATTATCTTACTGTCAGGTTTCACACTACTAGTAAAGTATCAATAGCACGCACATGCGGTAAGAAAAAAGATCAAAAACTTGGGGTAGTTAGTTGGCTGTGTGTGATATGTTGTGGCGTGGATATTATCTCAAAGAGCGCAAGCTGAAGCCCGAAGAGCACATTTGCGTTACTCCATACGCTGGGCATGCATTGCAGAACGTTAAGGTTTCGTTGCTAGCTCCCCAGTAAGCTAAGAAACTTACAACATTTCAGATAAGTAAAAATACGAGCGTTTTCAATCGCACACATTATCTTGCCGGTAGTAACAATGCGCAGTTCTCGGCGAATGAACGGATACCGAACGCCGCTTTTAAAGTTTATCAAACAATAGTGAAACCGCCGGTTTTCTCTCCACATAAAGAGACATACATTGCTGATCCAATGTTGGTATTTAGTCGTATTTACGATTGTTAAACTAGTTACACAATCCTAATTATCGCGTAACAACCGGCTGATAGGGCGTCCATCACGCCCATAGGATCTAGTCTGAGGCTACAACCTACCACGTTACATGAACAAACAGTAATATCATATGATTACTCTAAATACAAAACTTATAATCCATAAAAATTGTGGTGTAAGATCGGCCTTATTCATACTTCAGTCAGCAAGAGATTCTTGTTCTTCAAGCTTTGAATTGAGGTATTCCTGGGCAGACGCATTCTTGGTAACCAATTCCACAATTCTTCTAACAATTGGTAGGTTCAACCAGGCAGGAACGTACGCCTCAACTCTAGCAAATGGACGAATCTCAGTGCGTCTGAATGGATCTTCAAATTGGCCGTCAACACTCACAGGCTCAAAGTAATCGTCCGAGCTTGCACCTTGTTCTTTAACCTTATCTGCAACAGCCGCAAGAACACTCTCATCTAACGGCGTTTCATAATCAGCAATCGTATACTGAGAAAGCAATCTTTGGATCTGGACCGGCTTCAAAGCATAACAGATCTCAAAGATGATTTCGATATCCTTATCAGTGTTCTTTCTCAATTGAAGTAACTTTGCGGCTTGTAACAAATGAACCAAGTAGTTTGATGCATTCGCAATGTCATGACTCTTACACCATTCCTCAATTCTTGTAACGTTGTAGTTCAACTGCAAACCACGCTTCCAGGAGAGGTAATTACGTCTCATGATCAAGTCGTTGAAACAAACAGCATCGATAAATCTCAACAGTTCTGTGATAACTTCATTCATAACTTCTTGTTCAATGAAGAATGACTTCATAGCCCAGTAAACATTGTTGAAGAAACTTAAAATATCATCCATCTTATACTGAGCTGTCTGGGAAAACACCTTGCTCAAGAATGGTGTGGATTCAGTGGCCATAAATCCCGGAAGAGACTGTGAAAGAACAACAGCAGAAACAATTTGCTTCTCCAGTTCTTTCTCCATCTTCTTCATCCACATATTGAAAATATTATATGATAAAGACTCGAAGTCTTCTTTGACAACAGCAACAAGCTTCAGGTATTCGGTGTACTCATCTTGTCCCATTTCACTAAGAATGTTTTCGTTCTCAACAATAGTCATTTCAGCATAAGAAACAAAGGAATAGAGTTCGTGGGTATTAGATAGCCAAAATGCACCATGTGGAATAATATCATCATCTTTCAAGCCAGAGACGATACTTTGAATCACGGCCAGTACCTCACCCAAGAAATCTTCTGATTCTTGGGTCAATCCCAATCTCCACATATCACTCAAAATGATGATTATAATTCTAGCTGGGAACAAAACCTCCTTCTTAGTAAGCTCGGACATGACACCGCTTACTGGAACCTTTAGGTTCTTCAATAATCCGCCAACAATCTCACTATGCAATGACTTTGAGTCCTGTAATAATCTGTAAAGTTCGTTTGTTATAGCAGTCAATGAGTTAGCAGTCGACTCAGCATCTTCATCGTCATTGGAAACAGGTATAACTGACATAGGCTTAGGGCTAAATTGGTCACTATTCTGGGAATATTGACTGTATCTTCTAGATCTTTTAGGTGTAATATTCCCAACAACTGCACCCCTTGAAGTAGACTGATGTTTTGTTAACTGTTCCACTTCTTGCTTGAGCATGGCAACTTGTTTCTTCAAATCTCCTTCCGCAGTCTCGTGTCTCTCGAGTTCCTCTCTAGCAGCTGTTAGTTGTGCTAATGTTTCTTTGACCTCGTTTTTCAATTGTGTTTGCAACTCAGTTAGCTCCTTGATCTTTTCAGCAGATTGTTCAAGGTCAGTCTTTGCTTGAGAAATCTCGGTGTTCAACACTTCAATCTCCTTGGTGTGTGAGTCTGCCTGATCAGTAAGCTTCTGTTCCTGTTCCAATTCTCTAGCTTTCAATGTGTCATGGGTTTTCTGTGATTCCTCAACAGCCAGTTTCAAAGTCGTGATCTCAGCAATCAAAGCCTTGTTTTCCTTAACCTTCTCTGTTAACTGTTGTGAAAGACCGATAACCTTGTTTTCTAACTTGTAACTAGCTTCCTTTAACTTGTTCACAGACTTTGCTTCCTGTTTCAAGATAGCTAATTCCTTCTTGGCTTGCTTCATTCTGTAATGAGATTGAGTAACAACGGCAGCTTTCTTGAGTTTGTTGAAACTATTTTTTTCCTTATACGCTCTAATGCTGTTCTGGATAGTAATAGCATGGAATGACCTTTGTTGTTCCAAGAATGTGTCTCTGGTGAGACGAGCACGAGCCAAGCCCTGGAAGGCCACAATGGATCCAACAGCTTCTGTAAATCTCTTACGAGCAGCGTAACCTCTTACAAGTGTTTGAATAGCAGTAGCAGCCAATCTTTCCCTTTCGTTTTTTGCTCTGACTCTGGCATTGAACCCAAGAATAAGTGCCTGAAGTTTCAAAAGAGATTCTCTGGCATTAACATACTGCTGACGGTAATACAGACCTCTCACATACTTCTGAATAAGAACAGCTGAGCTGTTCAGCTTATCAGTTCTCAGCTTCTCAAGATGAGCTAACATACCAGCTTTGAAGAAGATCTTTGTAAGACCAAGTTGGTACTTCAGCTCATCGTCAACTGTCTTCTGCAAAATTGCGTTACAGATCTCACGCACAGTCTGCTCATCCGCTTTTCCGGTGAGGATTGGAACATACTGATCAGAATGAAGTAAAATATGGTATCTGCTTCCAAACTCCTCGTACGTCCATCTAGTTGGGAAACCGGCACATGAAATCTTGATTGTTTCCAAGACACCACATGCTCTCAATTGAGAAAGAACCATGAGTGGGTCAAACTTCCAGGCAGCCTTCTCCTCGTTCGGTTTGATACAACGGATATAATGAACATTTGTAGAATTAATGGTCTGCATCAAATCGATCAAAGATTTCTTGAATATGGAACCCAATGTTGGCTTTCTGTTAACTGTTCTTTTCTTTGTCGCAGCATTCGCTTCTTCAACAGCGACGTTGGCTTTCTCCAAGTTGTCCAAAATTTCAATCAAGAGCTCGTTCTTCGATTCTTTCAAAACTTCCAGATGACCTTCAGAAACTGTATCCCTGTTCTTCTCGATGAACCCTTCAATATCATACGTCACATCAAGAGCATAATGGGACACAATAAACTTTGTTTGACCAAATCTAGGTTTCTTGAATACTTTGTTCGTTGGTTCCTTATCCAATGTCTGATAAAGCTTAGTAATCCAACTCTCATCGTTACCTGCTGGTAGTCTAGATTCCTCGTCAAGCAATGAAAGAATACCAACTTTCTGCTCGATCAAGTCAATGCAAGGCTGATTGTCACTGAATTCGATAAAAGACCATTCAATCTTCTCACTGATGTACTCTTCCTGTTCTAGCTTGAAGACATGCTGATTAAACTCCTGTTGTAACTTCTCGTTGGCATAATTGATACAGAACTGCTCGAAGGAGTTCTTTTCGAAGTGTTCGAATCCATAAATATCGAGAACACCAATAAAAGAGTTGATTGACTCAGCAACCTCTTCGGAGCATAAGTCATGGTTAATATAATCAACCAACCAGTCGAACAAGGCAGAATAAATATACTTCGAGACAGAATCTCTTGAGACGAGAGCCTGTTTATGATTCAAGTTCGAGATAATCTTCTCAGATCTAGTTACAATCTGTTTCTTAGTAATCCATTTGGCAAAGTTGAAAGGATCGACGCCAAGTAATTGACAGGCCTTGACCAAGTTAGGTTCATCTGATGATAAATTTGGATCGTTTCTTGTTGCCTTGATTTCAATGTTACCTATGTGAAGCAATGCCGCCAAGATGGTGAAGATTGCCTTTTGGGTCTCTTGATTGATACCGATCAAGGACAAGGCGTCCGTTGTGGCCTTAAACTCCTCCTTGTCGTCAATTCCTTCAATCTTGTAATCACCGCCTTGGTTCATATAATTGTAGTCTGAAATCTCTGTCAAGAGTAAATCCTCTTTATCCTCGGAGGATAAACCTTCGAGCATTTGGTAAAAGATGTGATAATTACGCTCCGAAGCTGGTTGGAAGACAAGTCTTGAACGTTCCAACAAGTAAGTTCTGATTCTGGCACCAATGATAGCTGTTTTATCGTCAAACAGGATCTCGAGGTACTTACCGAAACGGGAAGAGTTATCATTTCTTGTTGTCTTTGCGTTACCAAACGCTTCCATGATTGGGTTGGTAGCCAAGATTTGTTCTTCAGTCTCGGACATTTCAATACTTGTGCCGTTATTCGAACCCAAAACAGAGTTATTATTTGTAATCTCCTCAACGGATGCGAAATATCTCATAATGTACTTTGCCGAGACGGTTTTACCCGCACCAGACTCACCACTAACAACGATGGTTTGGTTCTTTCCGTCTTCTTTCATTCTTCTGTATGCATCTTCTGCAATGGCAAACAAATGAGGTTCCAATTCACCCCTGCTCTTCCCTGAGTATGCCTGAATGATATCGGAAGAGTAAAGCTGGTCAACTTTTTGGAACGGATTCGTTGCAATCAACACAATACCAGAGTACGTATAAATGTTCAGTTGTGAATATCTAACTTTGATTGCGTGGAGCACTGCTGGTTCGTTCAAGTAGGAAAGAGATGTCAAATCCTCAGTTGCCTCCAAGATCGGTGGGTTTCTCAACAGAGGGAGCTTCTTGTTAGATTCGTCAAGCGAATCAGTGTCGATCTCGATCACATCCTTTGTTGAATCAACAGTCAGTTCCATGTGATGTTTGTCTCCATCAACAGTGTGTTTAGTCACCTCAGCACCAACCCATCCTTCCTTATCACTCTGTACCCAACAACGGCTATTAAGCTCTAGTTAGTAGTGTTCACAACCTCCCTGGAGTACCATCGACCCTCTGTTTACTACGAAGAACAACAACAACCCCCGCACAACAAATCACTCTGGCGGCTTCGATAGTTTGTGCTTCATATGTCACAGAAAACTGGTTCGCCTCGGTACACTGAGCAGATCACATACGTTCCAACGTCATAAGAGGACATATTGATGACTTTGTGCTGATTTATTCCCTTTGCCGCTGAGTGTGTTTGTTTTCTGAGTTTCCGTTTTCTTCTGTGTTTTTTTTCGGTTTTGGACGTGTCGACGCGTTATTTTTTTGTTTTCATTGAAGAAATATGCGGCGCAAACCGAAATCACTCCCATTCTCCCAATTGAGCCGAAATGCCACCTCAGCACAAAATGTGAAACCACCAAAAGCGACGAATTCCCTTGGGGATGGGGAATTGATATTACGGAGAGTCTGGGGTGAATAAAGGTTTTACTTGTATGTCACTCACTTTTAAAAAGACAAAAAAACAAATGTCGATATGATTGTACAATATATAGGTTACATATATAATTAGGAAAGCAAGTAGATGAGAAACAGACCCGCTTAGTATATACGCAACTTCAAGAGTGCTCTGGCTTTGGTGGTGCGCGAGCGTAAACACGTTGAGGACGATCGACAACGGCCAATGGGGTTGGTTTAGGGTTTTCTGTCGCTGACTCAATGGTCTCTGTAGTTGGTGCATCTTTTTGTTCATTCTGTAGAGCATCTTGTCCATCAGCTTCTTGTTGAGCGACATCAGCATCAGCTTGGATGTTGTCTTCTGTTTGGGTTCCAGTAGTCTCT